CTCCTCCTTCCCTCTGACTCAATGACCCAATCCCCCGAGCTCGAGTCCCCATCCCCATCCGTCCACCAACCCCGCCCCCTCTCCCAACACAAGAATCTGTGCATCACGATCTCTCCCAAAGTTCCTGATATCCCCCGCCCGCATCGCATCAAAAAAATCCATCCTCGCCATCATCATTGAACACAAAGCAAATGGCGCAACCGTGAGTGTGGCGTCCGCCTTCCCCATATTACCCTTCTCTGTCATCGGCCCGAAACCATAAAGCCCAGAGTAGAATTCGCCACGTGCGCGCGCCCACCCAAAAAAAAAAAATCGCATTCAAAAAAAAAAAAACATTAAAAAAAAAAAAAAAAAGACCCTTTCCTTCTAAAACTATGTAGTCTGCTAGGCGACAAGAGGGAAGGGAGGGGTCACCTCCCAAAAAAGGCCCTGTCATCACCATCATCATACATAACCCTCGAAGGGCCCACGAACCATTTTTCAAACCCCGAGTCCGCCTTTCGACTCCCAGACGGCACACGGTAACTTTTTGACACGCCGAACCCGAAAGTCTTGCCTTCCCCCAAAAACCCGCGCCCTTGTAAGTCACGAGGATAAGTCCTCCCTCGCGTGGCCCTGAAACCCCTTGTCCGTGCATTCATACCATACTTCGGAAAAAAAAATGCCACAACGACTAAAAGTGACGGTCGATGGACGGTCGATCGATCCCTGGTGTTGCTCTAATGATCTAGTGTATCGTACGAACGCAAAAAAGCCGGTCAAACGGCTAACAGGACAAAATTAATAGAAAGAGGGTAAAAAGAAGGTCTCGCCGAGAATCGAACTCGGATTACAAGATTCAGAGTCTTGGGTGCTAACCATTACACCACGAAACCATAGATATTCCGTCCAATAAATTTATATTATTTATAGTATAATAAATAAACATTATAATATCCTTCCTCACCATCGAAAATTTACATGCGCTGGCCCCAGTCCCCCGCCGTTTGCGGCAGCGCTAACTAGTCGGACAGGGGATTGTAAGTAGATACATAATGTATACGGACGCGATATCATTATTTCGCGAGAGTCCGTTCGGCTCGTTACACAACTTCGCGGCAGTGATGAGGGAACGATGACTGAACATGGCTTATGTAAACGGGCCATGCACATGCGTCAAACACGCGGTCCCCGGGTTCATTACACATTGCGACCCACCATTGTGCGACAAGTTAGGGAGCATGCTCGCTCTGAACTTCCACGATAGGCGACATGCTTGGAGCGAGCTTTAAGTCGTTGGCATGTAACTTGATAAGTATCCACCAGGCCACCCACCAGGCCACCAGGCCACCAGGCCACCAGGCCACCAGGCGTGGAGTAAAACGAGCTAGCCCCAACCTAACCTGCTGCCACCCATCTTTCCCATTTATACACAAGGTATGGCACCACGCATCCCCGCGCCCCGCGCCACCATCAAGTTCGCGGTGTGTCGGCTCATCCTCATCCTGCCAATCACGTCCGCACGACAGTGAGAACGGTCATGTATTGAGATCATCAACGCATGCACAGCTCCAGATCCATCCCCCATTCCACTTATCAACTCGCGTCGGACTGGACAAGGGATAGTGTTTAAGGCATACATGCCCGCCCTACGGAATGGTGATAGAAATTGTGGCTTGTGAATGAGTGCTTCGCAGAATGCGAAGCCTTCTCGATAGCCCATGTCACCAATGAATTCCGTATATAGGATCGTCGTTGAAGGTTATTATTTTAAATTGGGATGACACCCAATCGCGTCCGTCCAATGATCCGTCCACGCCAACGTGGGTTGTGCGTGCGCACCTCCCGAGACGGCCGAGACGGTTGATACATACTTGGATGGTGTCGAGCATAACGTCGGTCGAAACAGGATGGCCGCTCTCAAATTCTGTGGGATCGTCGCGCTCCGCCAATCGCATTCGTCCGATATGCTCACGTACGAACTTTCGTCGGAAGGCCATATCGAGTTCGACAATCATTGGTTATTTGCAAAATATATAGTAGAAAATGACGCCAACACTCGTCATCTCGCCATCCGGCCAATTGGGTTCAGCAGAACGTCGAAACATTACGTCATCTCAGATTTAAAACGAAAACGAATATCAATCGATCTCGTACCTTCGACAAGAGTTCGGACTGCCCAAAGTTCCGCTGTCGTAAGATATCATCACGTCCCCCCGGACAATTGGCACTACGCGGTCTCCAATTGAGGACATCACACCGAAGTTTGATGACTCTCGTGCCATTTTGCACTGTGGGTGGGCGGCGCGCAAAGTGTTCGGCCGACCGGCGGAAACTTGCTGATGCCCACCGCATTCTTCACTGATGCACAGGGCCGGGCGGAACGCTAAGAGAGACGAGTAGTGTTCAAAAAGAAAAAATTCCGCAAGGTTAGGAGTTATGCTTTACGCTTCAACTCTACCCAGATCACACGCATTTATTCCAATAGGCAGATAGTCTGGTCAAATAGAGCGTTGTAATTCGGTATCAGGCACCTAAAATATTCGCACCTCATTATCTTCCTGAAGGGATGCTCCTTCCTTCCTCACACTACACACGATGACGGTTGGGGAAGGCTGAATTCCTCAGGTGCGCGGCCTTCGCTCCTCCGTGACCGGCAATACCGGCGGAAGTCAGAACCAGCAACTAGTTTCCCCTTCGCATATTCACACGAAAAAAGAGTGGAAAGTGTTTATCCTTTTCATAGAAAAGGGGAGGGTAGTAAAATATAACGCATACCCTGCACCGGTCAGCAATATTACGAGTTAGGTAATGCTTAGCTCCGCTCCGTCGTTGCCGCGACAATCTAAATAAAAAATAAAATCGAAATTGAAACCTTTGCTTTCTGTATATACGTGGCATATTGCAACAGCCGGAACAAATTGAAAATATTTTGGGTCCCATTGCCCCCGCCACCAACCTCTGGCCCCGCTCCATTCATCTTATCGATGACCACCGTCCGGTTCGTCTTGTTCAAATCAATCACAGCTATTCTGCATCCTTATTGACGCCAAAGCTGGTACGGCGATGGACGACGCACGAAGGGCCTTGTGTGCAAGGGACGATTGAATCAACCTAAGCATTTTGAGGATGATAATAACAATAAAAATATCGTTGTTGAGCGGAAACCGAGAACATTGCAGATCGCCCATCCATAATATTTATTCACAAAGTTTCGCTCACGCAATTATCAACGACCCCTCCAATTCCCCGTTCCGCACCCGATATACGCACTATCTCATCGAACCATTTGACGAACTCTGGCGTAAAATTCCTCCTGATACGCCAAGTTCCTCGCGGAGTGTAGCCATACGATCCTTCCGTCTTCGGCGACATCCAAGACAAGAGCGTTGAAAGTTATGATGGCTAATAATGATGTTGAGGAAGTCAACCTTGCGGCCTTTGGAATTGTCAACGAGGATGAAGAATATTGGAGACTATGGTCACGATTGGTTAGAGAAGTTCGAAACAAGAAAGATCAAATAAGTCATGAACCATATCCTTAGAACCGCCTTTTCACCATCGAATAAAACCACCAGGAAAGGCTTGCGAAAGATGACCTCCGTGAGCTCGGCTTCGTCGTACTAAACATCGTAGCCTGGATCTAATCATTGAAGGAATTGTCGAAAATGTGAATGTGAGTCGAAATGAACGATGCTGCCGAACCATCAGAAAATTGTCGATATGATCATTTTCAATATAACCAATAAAACAAAAAATTACCAAACGCCTCAAAAGGTGAACCAACCAACATACAGCAAATCACTCCATGTATTCCGACACGCCGATCCACAATAGCGTTCGTGGTGTCGAAGAGGAAATCGCACAGGTCGGTCAGGTACACTGGATCACGAGGAACAAAATGAAGAGGGCAGTGGAAAGAATGTAAACATGGTGAATGGCAAGATCACGAGAACGCAAGCCTATACCTTTTCGACACCCACCATCCAAAGAAGAATAAGCGATTGGGCAGCTCGACCTAAGGAGCAATGACATATAACTATACTCCAGTCGTAATCAAACGTGACCAACCTCAGCCACAGGAAATTCGCAAATGGGTCGAACCCTCTTCGCAAAGCACAACTTCCTAGCCACCACACCTTGCCTCTTCTCAACAATGGCATCAATATTAAAACCCAAATTCCTGTCACAGCTACCAGCAACCCCCTGTCTCCTAACCTCCTCGCTCCCCAATGATCCTCTCACCCCAGATCCGGACAACCTTCCCGCCCGTGCCTTCCTAGCCCAGGCCCGTCCAGTCTACAATGCCTGCTACACCTATGTGCCACCGGAGGCGGCCCCCGAGCCGAAGCTGTTGGCCGTCTCGAGAGCCGCCCTAGAGTTGATTAATCTGGATCCAAAAGAGGCCGAAACCGAGAACTTCGTGGGCGTGTTTTCGGGGAACAAGGTGCTCGAAGGAACGCATCCTTGGGCGTTGTGTTACGGAGGTCATCAGTTTGGGTGCGTATGTATGATTGGATTGTTAGTATGGAAGCAAACGGGCGAGGAATTTTTCAGATTCTTGGCACTCCATGAAGGCTCGATTGGTACAAGATCTGTATTAATTAATAGTTTCAAACCATCCTGTAGAGCTTGGGCTGGACAGTGAGTTATCCATTTGCACATCGCATACACTCCCATTCCCCTCGCAACCCCCTTTGTTCACCCTCTCAACCAAAATCACTCACTTCCCTTTAGACTAGGCGACGGTCGCGCCATATCCCTATGTAAGTCAAGAACATCTACCCAATCTTCCCCAACACACACGATGCCTCTATGCTCTAATTCTAAACCCATTCCTTCGCTACCCAGTCGAGACCGTCAATTATACGCGCGAGCTCTGGGAGCTCCAACTCAAAGGCGCCGGGCGCACGCCTTACTCGAGGTTCGCGGACGGGTATGCGGTCCTGCGGTCATCCATCCGCGAGTTCCTCTGTTCTGAAGGTGACGCGTATGACCTCCTCATTGCTTGGTATTGTGTTTCACGTCACATCTCACCCTCCCACCCTCCTTCTCTCCACACTCAGCCCTTGCCGCCCTCTCGATCCCGACGACTCGCGCGCTCTCCCTCGTCACAACCTCTCGCGACGTCTATCGCGACGACGCCCCTGACACCGTGCGACAGCCGGAACGCGGTGCCATTGTGTGCCGGCTGGCCCCGTCGTGGCTCCGGTTTGGTAGCTTCGAGATTCTGTACCAGCGCAAGGACGCGGCAGGAATACGCAGCCTGGCGGAATTCGTGGCGCGCGAGGTTGTGAACGTGAATGCGGAGATTGCCGAAAGAGAGGAGAGGGAGGGGTGGAATAGATTCGGGAGGTTGTATCGGGAGATCGGGAGGAGAACAGCGAGAATGGTCGCGGGGTGGCAGAGCGTTGGTACGTTTGGGTGGGTGGGAGACCGGGATTTTTGTTTGTTGGGGAGGGGTTAGGATGGAAGAAGTGAGGCAGCTCGTTTGTTGACGTATTGCGTACTTTATGGTCCGCTCCGATGCAGGGTTCTGCCATGGGGTGATGAATACGGACAACATGTCCATCCTAGGTAAGCCGATCACTTTTCGTGGTCACCCTCCGACCATGTTTATCGTCATCGCTCGTACATCAATTCACTACATATACACCCACCCCAACCCCACAGGCCTCACCCTTGACCTAGGCCCTTTCGCCTTCCTAGAAGCCTACGACCCCGCCTACATCTGCAACCATTCCGACGACCTTGGCCGCTATTCCTTCCTCCACCAACCGACGGCCTGCATGTGGAACCTGCACCGACTTGGCGTGACCCTCGCCGAGCTGATTGGTGCCGGCGACGAGGTCGATGTCGGGGTGGACCCCGTCTCGGGAGTCGCGTCCTGGGACGA